GAAAAGAATTCAGCACAGAAAAGAAGGGGGAAGTGTGGCATAAGATGAGGCCAAAGAGACAGGGACTAGGCCAGGTACGGCCTTCAACAGGGCTTCTTGTGTTTTGGCCGGGGTTGGAGGGCAGTCTTGGGTGAGGCGCAGAAGTGTTTTAAGCTGTAATGACTCAGAGGAGGCTCTCATGCTGGGTTTTCGAACACTCCTCTGGTTGCAGTAGAGCGGCCAGTTAAGAGGCTCTTTCTGGGCACTATTAGTCGTCACTGAATACCATACTTAGTGACCATCATAGATTCCTGGGGCAATTGGCATTATCCTAACAGGGTTGGTTTTCCCTCTTTCTCCAGGGACTACTTGAAGAAGTGGTCAGCTAAAGGCATTCACGTTATCGCTTGGACAGTTAATACTTTTGATGAAAAAAGTTACTACGAATCTCATCTTCGTTCTGGTTATATCACCGACAGCATGTTGGAAGACTGTGCATCTCAGTTCTAGACTTTCCCCCCAGGGAGGAAACATGGCTATGGAAACTGCCTGCTGACCTCACACAGGAATATCGAAATACTCTTTGTGCCAGCCCAAGCCCTTGGGGGGACCAGGTGGCTCACACAAGCAATAGTCGGTAACTGGGTTTTTACCTGAATCAAAGCAAAACCCATTGTTGCCACCGTGCTCCATGGAATGCTTGAGTTCAACACTGATGCTCTTGAAAGTCTGGGTCTGCAAAAAGGCACAACAGCTCCCGTCCCAACCTAGCTGAGGCACACACTGAGACCCAGCGAGGATATAAGCACAGATTGAGTTGTGCAGTTTTGGGGTGCAGATGCAAATGCATGGGAAATGCATGATCACTCCGAGTTGACATTTTAAAACTTGACACACTTATGTAATTTACTTATTTAGATATTTGTATTTGGCTATGTTATCAACGTACTGTAGACATCAAACTTGTGACCATACTAATAAAATCATTAAAAGGAGCACTAAGGGAAAACTGTGTACCGAGCATCATATCCTAAGACATAAAGAATTTAGAGGAGCTGCTGTCTGCAATCCAGTGACCGGGTCCCTGGTAAGGTGTGAAGCCAAGAAAATGGTAGTGAAGTCTTGATACTAGTCTGAGGGGTTATAGTATCTTGAAGCAAGAGCTACAGACCACTAGGGGTCAGAGTTGCACCTTTTCAGGCTGCTCTACAACATGATCATAGAC